ATTGCTATCATAGTTAATCTTGCATACTTTTCTCAACATATAGATTAGATCAAACAAATTATAATTGACTTCATCATTAAAATCCGAGATTCAAAAGATGTAGGTCACATTGATCGAACCACTCTAAATTCTGGTTTGCTTTTCATTTGTGTAATTTTTATTACTGCAAATCTCCTTAATCTTCTCTTGCACTTTTACAATAGCTTTCAAGTTTAACTTCTCTCCGAAACGAATTGAATCGAAATCATTTTCGTCGGAATTAGTTTTAATCAAAACGAATATTTTTCTGAAATCGAGAAAGTTTTTCGCTACACTAATTTACCCCCCCCCCCCCCCCCTTTTAACTGCCACTATTGATCCTAACAAACATAACCTTGAGAGACTCGACCAATCGCACTAAGCTCGTAAAGGTAGGCAACTCATGCCAACCATAACTCTTTATAATTCTCGTCCTATTCGACCTCTGAACTACCATGGCCTCGAGGGACTCAACCAACTACTATGAAGTTTGGTTGATAGAACCTTGAATTCAAGATGAATTCAAGTCGTTGCAAATTTCAACATGAATATTTACAATACATCATCATACATAACATGATCATACTTCTCCCCCTTTGTGATCAACAAAAATGAGAAGTTACAACTATCAAGTATTTGAGATATAAGTTCAAATTATTGCATGAAAAACATAATATCAAGTTTTATCATCATGCAATTTGTAAGCTAGAAAATTTAGCGAGTGTTACATCTTGCAAGCTATCAAGTTTTAGATAAACAAGGCAGTAAGATAGCAAGTTTACAACATACAAGCTAACAAAAATTTCGAAAGCGAATGCAAGATAGCTTTCTTGTTGAAGTGTGTAAGCTAGCGATTCTTGCTTCCTATTGCAATGTGCAAGTTGCAAGTTTTGCTTCTTGAGATTGGCAAGATAGTGATGTTCAAGATAGCAAGCTCTTTCTTCTCTTTTGAGAAGTGTCATTTTTGCTTTCTTTGCAAAGTGCAAGCTAGCAAAATTTTACATTATTTTACAACAATCAAGCTAGCAATTTGGCAAGTGTTACTTCTCTTTGAAGTATGAAAGCTAGCAAGTTTTTGAAAAATAATGCAAGATAATAAGGTAGCAAGATACAATGTTTTACATGAAGCAAACTACATGAAGTACATTTGCATCTTCTCTTTAGATGTGCAAGCATGCAAGCAAGTTTTTGCATCTTCTTGACTTATGCAAGCAAGTAAATTTGCTTTCTAGCAAGTTTTGCTCCCCCTTTGTCATTGTCAAAAAAAAAAAGGGAAGAATATAATTTTATATATCTTTATCCCTTTACATCAATTTCTAAATCATGACAAAGGTAAGTATCGATCTTATTTGTGCATCCTTATATTTTCAAATTAAAACATGCACAATTTCTAAATCATGACAAAGGTAAGTATCGAACAGGGGCGGTACCACCGCTAGCAGTATTGCTATCAGCGGTACCACTGCTGGCAGCATTGCTGTCGGCGGTATCATCACCCAAGAATCTCGGGTTGCTATTCCCCAGTCAGAACCCTGGTTGGGCCTTGAATCCGGCCCAAACCAATCCAGCTTCGGTCCTAGTTTGCCCCTAACAGAGTTGATGGGATTAGGTCCCAATCCCAACTCTAATTATATGCTAACTATGATTCCTAAGACATTCTAAGCAAGATAAGTCTGATTTCTTCCGACGAGCTTCCAGCGATCTTTCCGGTGAACTTCTGACGATCTCTCGGCAATGTTCCAGCAGACTTCTGGCAAGCTCTTGGACTTCACGATGATCTTCTTGATGAGTTCCGACAAACTTCTTTGGCAAGCTCTTGGACTTCTCGGTTGGTTCCGGCAAAACTTCCGATGAACGTCCGGACTTCCGACGAACTCTCGAACTCCCAACAAAATTGCGTTCTTGACTTCGGGACTTCATTTTGTTTTATGCCTTGCTATCGTAGTTAATCCTACACATACAAAAATACACTTCGATCTAGACAAATATTACTAAACATGAATCATGTTGTCCGGCATGTCATTGGTCCATCGACCCTTCGTCCGATTCTTTAGTGCATCGTTCTCTCTTGCGGCCTATTGCCCAATCGACCAGTTGACCTCCGCAACTCTGATATCCTTGGCACAATTTCCGCTCTTCCTGGCCCGATGCTCAAATCCATGGCCCAGGCCCTTCTTGATATACCTTTAATAGACAATATAAAGAGAAGAGATATTTATCATGTTAACCGATGCTCCCTTTGTATGCAACAGGAAGAAACTATTAACCACCTCTATTTTGCTTGTGACTATACCAAATGGATATGGAAGGAGATTCTTCAACGATTTGAACTCAATAGGCTACTATAGCCAAATTTGCATCAAGAATTAGGTGATCTCATGCAATGTTTCTCAAGAAAATGGCCTCTTACATAATTAACAAAGGTTACTTTCAGATGTGTTATTTGGTGGATCTAGAAGAAGAGATATAGTAGAATCTTTGAGTGTCAATGCACAAACATTGCTCAACTCTTGATAGAGATTATTAGAGACTCAAGATCATGTATGGAGCATGATCTCAAAATGAAGCACTTTACACGAAGAGAGAAAGATACTTTTATCAAATTCAATTTTGCTATTAGCTAAAGATCTTAGGAATGATGTTGAAGAATTATGTGTATCCCGTAATTATCTGCTTTAATAATGTGCTATACTCACAGGTAGTCTTGGCATGTTTGGACATTACATTTTATTTGTTGGCTACAATTAGGAGTCCTAGTCTACAGCATGTGTAGTCATGATTACCGTATATGTACTCTATGAGTTATCAAACTTATTCTATGGCTTGTATTTGTAGAAACTTTACACTTAATAAATTTACTTTTAATTATAAAAAAAAGATCTTGTGAATTATGTTGAAGAATTGTATGTATCCCGTAGTTATCTGCTTTAATAATGTGCTATACCCACAAGTAATCTTGGTATATCTGGACATTATATTTTATTTGTTGGCTATAATTAGGAGTTATAGTCTATAGCATGTGTAGTCATGACTACCGCATGTGTACTATATGAGTTATCAGACTTAGTTTATGGCTTGTATAGACAAAGCTATTTATAGAAACTTTACACTTAATCAATTTACTTTTACTTTTTTTTTTGTAAATTAAAGTAAATTAATTAAGTGTGAAGTTTGTACAAATAGCTTTGTCTATACAAGCCATAGATTAAAGCCTGATATCTCATAGAGTAGTCTAGGATAGTGAGGTGGAATGGTCTCACTCCATAAACTTAACTCCTAGAGTAGTCAAACAAAGAGATAGTCATGACTACACATACTGTCGACTATAACTCCTAACTGTAGCCAACAAATAAAGTGTAGTCATGACTACACATGCTGTAGACTATGACTCCTAACTGTAGCCAACAAATAAAATGTAATGTTCAGATATGCCAAGACTATCTGTGGGTACAACACATTATTAAAGCAAATAACTTCGGGATACATACAATTCTTCAGTGTCATTCCAAAGATCTTTAACTAATAGGAAAATTGAATCTGATAAAAATATCTTTCTCTCTATGTGTAAAGTGCTCCATTTTGAGATCGTACTCTATACATGATCTTGAATCTCTAATAATATCTGTCAAAAGCTAAGCATTGCTTGTGTGTCGATACTCAAAAGAGTCTACTACATCTCTCCTTCTACATCCACCAAATAGCGCATCTGAAAGTAACTTTTGCTAATTGTGTAAGAGGCCATTTTTCTTAGAAACATTACATGAGTTCGCCAAATTCTTGATGCAAGTTTGGCTACGGTAGCCTATTGAGTTCAAATCGCCGAAGAATCTCCTTCCATATCCATTTAATATAGTCACAAGCAAAATAGAGGCGGTCAACAGTTTCTTCTTGTTGCATACAAAGGGAGCATCGATTAACATGATAAATACCTCTTCTCTTCATATTATCTATTGTAGGTAGTTTATCAAGAAGGACCTACCATGTGCATAAGGAATGTCTTTGTGATCCCGGTCGATCCCATGTCCAACTGCTTGGGATCCACTTGTTGTTCCTCTACTTGATTTGATTCTATGCTGATGTGGTACTAAATTTACCATTATCATGAGGTCAAATAAACATATATGAAGAGTTGATCTTGATTGGAATAGCCGTGATAGTCGGCCAAAGTGATAACATTTCAAGAGAAATAGGATTAGGGAGGCACTAGGTACTATTAACAATGAACTCGAAACCCTTCCAATCTTTGGGAGCCCCAAGGTCTTTTCGTATTCTATCACCATATAATTGAAATATACTCTTTCTATTCACCCAAGGATCGTACCACATATTAGTACTAGTTCCGAAAGAGATTACATTAGAAATGTGTTTGATTAGCCAATTCCTTACCTTCAAAATTCCTTTCCAAGCTGCAGAGTGATATGTTCTTGCTGAAACTTCCCAAATTGATTCCTTGGTAAGATACCTAGCTGAAACCCATTGTGTCCATAAGGAACAATTGTTTTGCAAAAGATCCCACAATTACTATACCAAACATGCTTTATTCTAATCTTTAGTATTTCTCAGGTTCAGCCCCCCTTCATCTTTCGGTTTATAGATACTGTCCCAATTTACCATATGTATTATTTTACCATTTGTGTCATTCCAAAAGAAGTTCATAAATAACCGTTCAATATCCTAGAGAAGTCCAACAGGCAGAAGAAGTGCACTAGACCAATAAATAGAGTAAGAATATAACACCGAACGGATGAGTTCAAATCGTCCTATTTTTTAAAGAAGCCTATTTTTCCAGTGTGACAAAACAATAGTTTTGGCATGGAGTGTGACAGTTTGCATATACTCTCTCAATTTACCATATGTATTGTTTTACCATTTGTGTCATTTTAGAATAAGTTCATAAATAATCGTTCAAGAGAAGTCCAACAGGCAGAAGAAATACACTAGACCAATAAATAAAGTAAGAATATAACACCGAACGGATGCGTTTAAATCGTCGTGCTTTTAAAAGAAGCTTATTTTTCCAGTGTGACAAAGCAATAGTTTTGGCATGAGTGTGGTAGAACATGAGAATCATGTCATTACTGAGCTAACGTTTACGACAAAACTAAAGTTCGGGATTTCAGTGACCGTCGTGCTGCCTCCCTCGACATCTGCAACACTTGCCGCACCTTCTCCAGCGCTGCGATCATCACCTATGACAGCGTGACCACTACCTCCACATAACTCTTCTCCGCTTGTGCCACCACGAACTTCGACGCGAAGACCAAGTCCATGATGTATCACCGCTCCTCAATCCCCTTTGACATCATCATGTTGATGTACTCGTAGCTACCGACCACAAATTCTAAGTGCGCTCCCGCCTCACCTTGCACAACCTGGCATCGTAACCCATCTCCCGCAACTGCATCTCATGGCCACATGGCGGAACCGAGAGCGGTCGCTCGGCCTCAACACTATGAGGGCCTCCACAACCTCAGAGGTAGAAGGGATCGCCCTTCCTCCAACCACGAATCAAGTCACCAACCGTAGCCATAGCCTGCTACATCTGATGGCCACAATCAAGCTCGTTCGCAATGGCATCGACATCTGCATCCAAGGAAAACACAGATTCATCACAGTCAAAGAAAGCATGAATGAGGCGTGTGGTGCTCAAGCACAAGCCCTAAAGCTGGGCTTTAATTTAATGCAGGGTTTTCACAGGTCCGAGAAGATGATGCTACACCACACGTACGATTATGTTTGGCCCCCGCAGGTTCATGGTTGCGACACCACAACACACGTATGGGTATGTTGGGCCTGTGTGGGTAATGCTCCCTAGGCACCGACAGATGCATCGTTGCAACAATATTCCACACGTCAGATTGTGTTTAGCGCATGCCAGTGATGTGCAGTTTTATTGCCTTTTAAGTGCATCAGCTTAAGTGAATTTAGTTAATGCTTTCGATGTCAAGCAAAAGGAGATAGGCGATGTTTCCATCCCTTCGGATGTTGCCTCCACCAAAAAGTCACGACTATTACTATCTAATACACTTTAATTAGTAAAGAATATAATCGTTCATTGATATTTTTATTTTTAATTTAATCAGATAAAGATAAATTTGCTTTGCTACAAAATAACAAAAATAAATATTATTATTTCATAATATATTTTTAAAAATATATTTCGAATGATATAATTATCA